GTAGAAGTTCTTGTCACCCATTGGCTAAAAATAGTACAATCTCGACTCGCAGATTAAATACTGTACTGCGACAATACTGATTTCCCCCCGCTAATCGAACGGACCTTACTTTATGATTTTATGAATTTATAATATTTGCTTTTGAAGGTATATCAAATATTTGAACGCATTCAATTGTTGCAAATCCATTTCAAGATGAAGCAGCGGATGACCCAAGTCGAGAAGCACGAGCAGTACGCAAAGCATTTAAGCGACAGTAATGCATCGTATTCTGCACTTGCGCTATGGGCTAAAGAAACATTTGGCCTCGCATCTACTCCCTCAAAATCGATCATCGGACTCATTCTCAAGACATACAAAACGGAAAGTCAACGGGCCGACAAAGGACAACGCACAAAGGAACAACGCGTTTCATTACCGGAGGTGGAATAAAAGCTTGTTGAATGAGTCAGTCGCTGCGAGGAATTGGGCGTGTGCATAACCGGAGAGCTCATCCGCAACCAAGCAAAGGCTTTTTGCGTTGAACTTGGCATCCCTGTGGCAGGGACACTCGCCTTTTCAAAGGGCTGGCTTTTCAAATTCAAACGTAAGCACGGTTTCAAGAGCAGGGTCCAACACGGAGAGGCAAGATCGACCCCCAAAGAGGCTGTTCGTGTCGGTCGAAACCAGGTCCTAGACATGACAGTAGGTTATTCACCTCAAAATGTCCTCAACATGGACGAAACGTCCTTTTCTATTGCTTGTCGCCACATCGGTCGATACTCGCAGCCGCGTACCTGGAACGAATAAATCCAAAAAGCGAATAACGATTGCCGTAACGACGAATGGCGCCGGCACTGACCGCATCGATCCTTTGTTCATCGGCACCGCTGCCAACCCACGTTGCTTCCGTGGCCAGTCTGCCGAAGAACTTGGTATCTACAAGTCAAGTAAAAAAGGATGGATGAATGCGAACATCTTCAATTCCTACCTCGAGTCAATCGACGCAATGATGGCCGATCAGAACCGTAAGGTCCTCATGCTCGTAGGCAATGCTCCACCACATCAAGTCTTCGAAACAACAACTTTGTCGAACGTGACGGTCAAGATGTTGCCGAAAAACACGACTGCGTACCTGCAGCCACAGGACGCCGGAATTATCGCTTCATTCAAGGCCAATGTCAAGAAACGCCGGCTACAAAACGCGTTAGATCAAATCAACTCAGTTATGGCTGGTCGACAAGACCGTCTATATGAAGTACCGCTCGATTTTGCGATGGGATGGGCCAAAGATTCGTGGCGGTCAGTTTTGCAGTCGACGGTGACCAACTGCTGGGCCAGAACCGGGATTTTGGACGATGGACTTGCTGCATTCAGTGGTAGAATTTCAAGTTTGCGTGTAGAGGTTGATTGTTTCAGCATTTTGTACCTATTTAACACTGTAAATTAATACTCCGTTGAATTCGTCGTAGGACAACTGTTCGGCTGGCGGGGGGGCGATCAGTATTAAAATACTACAATAGTAACGAAAATATGGTGAAGTACCACTCGGGACATTTTTCCGTCGTTCTCTGTAGCAGCTTCCACGCACGCCCTATTTTTCATGCTGTAGACACCACCTACAGACAGTAAGACGCCGGCATGAATACCGGCATCCGAATTGGCCAAGCTGAAGACAATAGTCCTCTGGAACACAGTGTGTCTCGACGCTGTGAAGCTTTTGTCGCCTGCGGGCGTGTACGCGTGTTAGATGAATGGCTTGGTGGAAGGGACACCGCCGTACAGTACTGATGTTTGAACGCCCAGCGCCTGATGTAATCAGCTTCGAGTCGTGTGGAATTTCAACTGAAATTATTTGAAAACGACATGATCGAAGGGAATGAAACATATACAAAAGTCAATAATATATTTTACTATTTGTGATTTGTTTGCACTCCTGTGCGAACTTGCATTCGCACGACAGCTCATGTCTGCTTCACCTTTACACACACTTCCCACCCAAGGTTTTCAGAACAACGCACCATGTGATTCGTGTACGAGTCACACTGCCCACGTGCAATAATAGGACCAAACGTGTTCAGTTTGTGCGCGCAGAATGCATGTTTTCACTTGATCCAGGACCCCTGCTTTGGTGCGATATTTTGACGTGGACATTAGTTTCAATCGATATGGAACACGAATATTTATGGAGCATTGTTTCATGGGAACAAGCGCCGTTTTTACAAGTGCCACGTTGGTCGTGTCTGTGGGGCGAATTTCTTTTCAGCTGTTTTTCGGCAAAAGTCCTGCCATTGTTTTCGTACGCTAGGGTTTGGAAGGGGTGGTGCGGTGGACGGACCACTTTCGTTCTTCCTTTGCACATGACGCTGTTTCGATCCAAGGCAGCGCTCCTTCTGCTTCTAACAGCTTGCATCCATGCGCAAGACGCGCCACCTGCCCTCGTGTGTAGTCCTCTCGAACTCGGCATCGCATACACAGGCTTCAATATGGGCAACACATCCCGCACCACCGCCGCCGAATGCTGCGACGACTGCCTCAATACCTCAGGATGCACCATTTTTGTCTTTCACAAGAACGTTTGCCGACTCAAGACGAACGCAGGTCCAGTGGTCAAGGTGAAAGGTGCAGTGTCGTCGTTTATCGTTCCTGAAACTCCCGAGCCGACCCCTGACGAGCCAACTAACGAGCCGACACCTACTCCAGACACATGTGGATGTGTCGGTGGTTCTCTTTGCTCGGAGGATGGCCGTTGTGACGCTTGCAACATGTGGTCTTCCTCAGCCGACGGCCGAGTTTGCGAAGATCGATTTGTGACGACTTGTCGTTGGTATGGTCAGCGATGGTGCGGCGCCAGCGATGAGCCGGAACCGCTTGTCGAACCAATTGGACGGTGCGAGTGTCATGCAGGGCACAAATGCGACCTCAACCTAAATTCGTGTGCCCATTGCAACTATCCTCGCCTGAGCGCCGGGCCGGGGCAAGACGGTGTATGTGAAGACTGGGAGCGCGGTGCATGTCTCCACACATTTGGAGGCCAGTGGTGCGGCGGTCTGAACTAGGTCAACGATGAATGAATTTGTAGTGTCGTCTAATCAAACATGATTGAATCAAACGGTATGTTGTTTCCCTGTCATACTGCAGTAGAACCGTGGCAACAAGCTCATCGAATGCCGGGCATTGGCATTCGTAGCAGTAGATCTGTACGAAGGACGTTTTTGTTCAGAGCAGGGGCTAAAAAGTGTTCCAGGACCCCCGACAACGAAACTCGATGTGAAATCAACGATGGCGCACCTGGTCCATGTCCTTTTCCATGGTCCATTGCGTCAAGTCCATGCCAAATCACAAAATGAGTCGTGAAAATGAGTCGTGACGTCTGTCGAGGAGCCCGACAAGATGTTTGAAGATGAACCAAACAACCTTCATTGCGATTAATGGGCAAAGGCGTTGACGATAGCGGTGCCCGTGGTGTAGAGAGACTTCACGGGAGCAGGGGTGGCAAATGCCAACGATCTACATGAATGCATGATGAGTACGTGGAGCGACAGAGACGTCGACGACGGGTGAGGCTTACACGTTCATCTTGCGAGGAGGCAAACTGATCTTGGTAGCCTTGACTTGGACGTTGAATCGAGGCAAGGCCGACAAGATCGTGGCGGCCTTCTTGGTCGTCAACGACGACGAGCGGAACTTGTTGGAGATGACGAGGTGGCGGACCATGATGCGGCTCGTGCTTCTGACTGCTGACTGCCGACACCACACACAACCCACTTCACCGATTGGATGGTCGTATCCGGATATCCACTTCCCACCATCACGTTGCATATCCGGATCTCACAGTTGGCGAGGGAAACGTGTCGCTTCAACGTTGCCCATTGTCCAAAATGACGGTGGCTGACAAGATGAAGACGGCGTGGTCGAAGGAAAACAAGTAGTTGCGGCTGACGTGGCAGGATCTAATGGATGACTAGGATGGTGGCGTGGGCTATTGCAGGTGGTCTCGCCATTGCTGCGTATTTGTATTCAAAGCCAAAGCCCAAACATGACGACTTCCACACGGCCGACTGGAACAAGGGCTTTGACAAGAATAGCCCCAAGAAGTGAGCTAAACGCGCGCATAGCTTGGAAGATGGCGCTGCTAACGTCGTAATTTACATATTTACACTATGAACCATCCAGAAAGGCAGCGCGTGGTGCACGTGTTTGGATGGATCGTCAAGTCCTCCACAGTTGCTGGCGGTGGCACGAGTACAGTTTTGTGGTTTAGCAGTCCAAGCAATGGGGGGGAAGGGGCATCGGGCTGGCGGTGGCTCGACCTCATGCAAACACCAGCTTCGTGGAGTGAGAGTGCAAGCAATTTGGGGGTTTCGGGGTGACGATCATAAGTGTTATCCGGATTGCACATTTCTTCGTGGCGACCAAAGCAACGATGGCGATTGTGGACAAGGTGAAGCAATTGTGGGGATCACAGCAGTCGTCAGCATTCAAGTACGTCGATTGCTCGTTAGAGGTTTCCATGCAGGGTCACCCATGATGGACTAGGTTGGCTGCATGGGCCCTAGCTGGAGGTATCGCCCTTGTTGCGTACGAGTACTCCAAGCCAAAGCAGGACGAATTCGACGATGCAGAGTCGTGGAACAAGAAGATTCTCGACAAAAACAAGAAGTGAGGCACAACAACGTAGGAGTGTGAGGTGGTTTGGGTGGAGACGAGATGCATGCTCGTGACTGACGTAAATACAACCCTGCACAATGTGTTCGACCGGCCGTCCACCTTACTGCTCCTGCATACAACCTCACGCTACGAAAGCTTGGGTCACCAGCTCGGAAATCGAGGCTTCCTTGTGTTCATGTAGGGACATCCGTTGATATTGACTTCGAGCACTTGCGAGTTCTCGTCAATCGCGATCGATCCTTCCTTTGTGTAGCACAGCGTGTGGATTGCAACACTGCGCACGACTGTGCGGCCGCTCGGGAGTTCCTGGACGTCATGCCTGTTCGCATCCTGAAGTCAACACCCCCTTGATCGAACCTTCGTACCAGAACATGCGGTTCCGCTGCCGAAAACCTCGATGCGGACAAGCTTCGTCGTCCAGAATCTGTTGCAGCACGAACACGCACCGGCTGGGCGTGCTAAACTCTCCGCAGAGGAGGTTGACAAACTCCTGCCGGGGCGTCACGATCGCAAACTGCTTTGTGTTGCCTTCGATCTCGACCACCGTCTGCAAGAACCACGGGTCAGAGGAGTCCTCGTATGACCAAATGTAACCTGCGAGATGGCATGTTGCTCAGCGTACGATGCTTGGATGGAGAGCAGCGTCGAGTCGACAAAAGCAATTGCATCCTCCAGTGACTCGGCCATCTTGGCCTGGCGACGATACACTGTGTAGTCTCCACCGTCTATGTTGATCGATTCGGTGTCCCAATCGATCGTTTCGGGAGAATCAAGTGCTGGAAATCCATACTGCTGGAAGATGCGATCGGTGTTGTGGTACATCTGCAACGTGATCCACTCCTTTCCAAGGCGTCGAGACGTAGGATGCGCCAACAAAGTTACATCACGCCATGTTGGCACGCGACTGTCCAGTCCGCTCTATGAACACAGCATGATCATCCTCCCGTGGCAGAGAAAATTATGTGTACTTTCAACACGGAGTTGGCTACCACCCACTTCTTCATTGCCCACACCTGTGTCGCAATCGTTTCGACCTGCGTCTTTAGCATTTTCAACCCGGAAGACGCAACTTTGACACCTTCGTTCAGCTCTTGAGCAATGTCCTTCCAAGGTAGCGCAGTTTTGCTCTCGTCGGAGCCAGACTTCTGCAACAGCACAAGCGTCGCGAGATCATTCTCCAATTCCTGGATCTTCTTGATCAAATACTCCTTCTCCTGCTTCTCTTCATTTCGGTACATCTGCCGCATCGTCTTGAAGTACACGCGGCGGCGCGCCTTCTTGTCGGTCGCCGCATCCATCGGCTGGGGCGGCATGTGGAAGGCGTTTTCGTATGCGACAAACTTCCGAAACCGGGCGGCAACATGCTTCAGCAGCAAAATATCATTAAATATCCCCGAAATTCTGAAAAATACCAGAATTCATATATATCGGTACAGAGAAACGTGCATTCGTCAAATGGTGAGGAATTCAGGTTCACATCACACTAATTTTGTGCACATTTGAAAGCGTATTTGACGGCATTTCCATCCAATTCAATTCCGTCATGCAAGCCGTGGAGTCAGCGTGCTTGGCGTTTGCTGCAGGTCGGACGACTGCGGAACGCCAAGCCGCTGAGTGCATTCTGCACCAGTTCAAGCAAAGTCCACAAGCCTATGCTGACTCGATCCACCTCCTCACCCACAGCACTGTTCCTATGGCGCAGTTTCATGCCGTGACTACGCTCTGCGAGCTGTCGCTGCTCGAACGCGTGGCGACCTCTCAACGCAGAGAAACCATTGGTTTCCTTCTACATCATGCAACATCCTCATATGCGCACATGCCGTCCTTTGTTTCGTCAGCTCTTTTGTCCACGATTGCTGTTCTTATGAAGCGGAATTGGCTCCAGGAAACCCCAGGTGACCGTGCAGCCATGGTCTCCCACATTACTCAGCTCGCATCGTCGCCCGGCGCATCCAGCAGCGTACTTGGAATCAAGCTCTTGCTCGCATTCGTCACGGAAATGAGAGGCTCGTCGGAGAAGAAGACCCGTGCCATGCTCCAACCCATGGCATTCCACACGTCATGCCGCACGACTCTGGAGAAAGACGGTCTTGTTCAAATCCTAGCTCTAGCTGTGCATCTCATTACGAACCAGCCGTCCAGCCAAGCCCTGGAGCATGTGTATCTCTTGATGGTTGAGCTCCTACAGTGGTTTGAAACTACCGACTCAACTTCAATTCTCCTCGCAGTGGATGCGCGATGGAGGCCGTACCTGGTGCAGGCCAGTTTTATCCAGGCGGTGTTCGAGACATATACGACCCACCGCAGCCACAACCTGGGAAGCCACACTATCCGCCAGGTGCTCATCTTGCTAGCCACCGTCACAGGTTTGTTGCATCTGGCAACCCAAGTCAACGTGACCATAACGATAGGCCCAATCTTTGAGACGCCAAGCGACCAGATCGCGTACATTACGTGGATATTCCATGGCGCTCTCTTCATCTTCCACCACCCCCTTCCATCCAATGTCGAACTGGAGGTGGTCGACATGTGCCAGCTCACGTACCGCCTCGTGTCGAACTGGGGCAGTTTGAACGATCCGGCGATGGCAGAGCCGTTGGTATCCGAGGTGGCGAAGCTCAGTTGTCTGCTGCTTCAGTCGGCTCTCCAGGACACAACCGACGATGTCGACGACGCGGCGCTGTGGCAGATGGAAGGCCTTGATGTCCTCATGGATGCTTGGAGCATCCTGACAGCAAATGCATCAAAAGTGTCGGCCGTATCGGCGGGCCTGCAGGCGGCAAGTGCCCAAGTCGTTCAACTGTACCTCCAAGTCCGATTGCGCCTTGTGTGCCGCAGTGACGAGAACGACGTCGACGAAGACGACGAAATTGAAGAAAACGTTGCCAAGACTCTCGAAGAACAACTCGGGCTCGTGGCGGCGCTGGCGCGGCTGAATGCTCCCCACAACTTGTCTTTGTGTCTCCATCTCTTGGTAAATGAACCTTAGACCGTGCGCTACCTCACGGTTCCGTAGCAAGAGACGTCCCATCAACGCATGAGCCATCCGACCAAGTCCCTTGACGATGTAAGCTATCGGCATGTGCTGGACAAGCTGCACTTTCTCGTCCTGTTCACGGGCATCGTCCTGGCGGACGACTACCGCGGTGAAAAGCCGAGCATTCCAGCAGCCATGGAAGGCGCGGTGCTGCCCCTCGTGGAGCAGGTCATACACGTAGTGCTGAGGCTTCTCGGAGACGAAGTCAAAGCCGTCGAGGCGGCGCCTCATCTCCAAAGTCCGTACTTTTCGGAGCAACTCGTGAGCACCACCACGAGGCTACACGTGACGTACTTTGAGCGGTTTCCGTCCAAGGCCGACATGGTTGAGCTCTTTTGCAAATGTGCGTCGACTTATTTGGCTCGATGGTATACCCAGCCGCACATCATCCAGAACGTCGTGGATCTCGTCTTGGCTTTTCCGAAGACTGCAGCGATATCTCTGTGCATGCAGTCGCCATCGTTCCAATGGCTCCTACACTCGGTGTTGTCTCTCCAAGGGGGTAAGTGCTCCCAGCTGTGCCAATCGGATTCATACTGGCGTAGCGTTGAGCCACGTGCCAAGTCAGAGCCGGGGACTTGTGTGCGAAGCCGTTGTTCGCATTGTCGTCGTGGAGTCGCCCGAGAAGCTGACGCCATTCGTGACCGAGTGGCACCAGGCCTTGGTCTCCCTCATTCAATCTGGCGCATCCAACGATGTGCGCGTCCACCAGCAAGTCGAAATCGTTCTTGAGCTGTATGCGGGTCTTGCACGGTCTTCTGAGAGGTACTGTTCCATCCAAACGCCGTCTCGTCATATTCAAGGACTCGTAGCCGATCTTTTCTTGTCCTGGAACCCCTCGCCCTGCCCTGGTTTCCTCTGCTACTGAATGTGCTCGAGACTTTCCACTCGGTTGCGTCCATCGTGCCGCTCGTCCTCAAATGCGCATGCGATTTCGTCGAAGCCAACCTGGCCTACCTCACCCTGACCAAAGCGATCGTGTTGTACAACCACTGCGACCGCCTCATCGGGACATTTTGCGCGTCGCACTCGTCCCAAACCCAGCGTGCGACCACGGAAGAAGAGCAGTTCGAAGACATTTTGATGTTGCTGACCCTACTGTCGCACCTCGTCGCCAAAGACGTGATTGACTTTGCCGACGACTCGGCCAACTCGGTAATTTGCTGTGCCCCATTTCTCTCTCTACCCTGCAATAACCACGACTAGGCTGGTGTCGTTGCTGACGTTGTGTTTTCTGGGCTGAACCAAGTGATTCCCCTCATGACGCACGACCTGCTCCAGTACCCTAAGCTAAGCGTGCAGTATTTCACGCTCGTGTCGTACCTGGTGCGTCCTCCGTCTTGACAGTGAAATACTTGACTTGCAACAGGTCGACGTCTACCCCGACAAAGTCGTACGACTAAACCCGACGCTACTGAACAAGCTCCTGCAATCACTCGTCGTCGGGATGCAGCACAACAACACCGACATCGTTCGCTACAGCTTTCAATCCGTCGGTGAGCTGGCGGCGTGTCAATTGCGCCACGAGCCGTCGGCGCCTGGACTTCTCGGCCAATTCATTCCAATTGTGCTCCAAATGCTCGTGTTCGAGTCGACTTCGGCCGTCGTGGTGGACGGCGCCGCCATTGCGCTCTACTACTTGTTGCTCGTTGAGCGCACCAATGTATTTGCCATCGCCCAAGCATTTTGCACGGGGATGGACACGGCCTTACACGACACAATGATGCAGGCGCTGAGCCAGTTGACGCAAAGCCTGCCCCCAAGCCACTCGACGTCAGTTGTAGATGCCAGAAAGCATCGAGCACAGTTCAAGACTCACCTGTATGCTTTCGTGGCGCATGTGCGAGGTTATGCTCAAATAAAGTAGTGCCTCTCAAAAAAACAATCAGAGGGGGACTCCTGCGCTGTTCAAACGCTGCGCTTTTCACACAAGCTACACTTCAAAGCTAACTACAAGTAACTGTAAAGCTAACTTAAAATACTTACAAGTTTCGCAACCATAGAGTTAAATGTCTTTACTGCAAAACATTAAAGACTTCAAATTCACTGTTATATATTTACAATGTTATAGCTATTTAACAGTATAACAGTGATCCCCCCCCTCGAAATTATCCATAACAGTTCATCAGTATAACGATAAAAAATGAATTGTTAACAGTATATCAGTACAACAGTAAAAATGAATTGTTCAAATTGATAACTGTTTAGCACTTTAACAGTA